GTTAATATATAATGTAATGTACTTTTTTTAAGGTACAAATAATAATTAAAGTTTCTTGTTTTGCAATGGAATATTATTGTTCACACTTTAAAAATGTTGATACTTGTAGCAAATGAAGTAGCCTTCCATTATTTTTTAAACATCCTAAACACATTGAAGGAGAATTATGAAGTGTGTTTGGTAAGAAATGATAAAAACATAACTTTTTTGTAAGTAATTATCAATAAAATGTATATATGCATTATGATTTATGTTTATGTGTATTTAATGTCTGTAACTTTTGAAAATAATTATTTTTAAAAGCAAATATTTTCTTTCAAAATGTCTTCATTGGTTTTGTATTACTTTCAATGTTGAATGTTTTTAAGCGTCATATCTGGTGTTCTAAACTTATTGTTTTAATATAGATATGATGTACAGATGTCTACAGTTTAAATATTGCAGTCTTTCTGGTTGTATATGCACACTAAGCTATTTTTTATGGACATATTAAGTGGCACCAGCTAACAGTAGTTTGTTAATAACAATATGATTGGAATGGAATGCATGTTACATAATGCTAATTTAAACTTATATTAAAGCACAAGCAACTTTTATTACATACAAAAACGTTTTTGTTAATATTAAGTTAATTTACAAAATTGTTTAAAATTGACATCTGTTTAGTCTATTTTGTTAACTTTTACTTATTAGCATATAAATCAGTTGTTAATTGTAATGCATTAAACAGTACTGCCTTAGCACTTGGGAAAATGTGGCTGTTCATCTTTAAGGATAAACAGATCTGAAAATGTTAATACATCATTGAAGCAAAACTTTTATCAGCAGAACCTTAGCTTTACTGATTTGCAAAATTGATGAATGATGAAAGGAGAATGTAGCAGTTTTTGTCATTATATGAATAAATAGATGTAGATATATGGACATGTATATATATATATGTGTGTGTGTGTGTGTGTGTTTCTTATTATTACACAATCACATTTGAGTTGTTTCTATATTTCAGCTTTTATCCACACTTATGCAATAAACTAAAAGTTTTTCTTATGAAGAACATAATAAATTATATGTACTTCCACAGGGTTCCTGAAAGTGCTCTGTTTCAAGAGTATATAAAACCAAAGTTAAGAGTAACAAATGTTTTTATTTCTTGCTTTTCAAGTTCATATGTCATGCTGTGTTTTAGCCTACAGAGTGCATAATTCTTCTCATGATTCATGACATTTGCATGTTTTACTGACACCACAATAGTACACATTGCAGTGTAAAGTGTTCCTTATGTGATGTCATTTTAGTGTCTACTGACTGACTGACAGACAAGACACTAAAACAGATGGGGAAATTATGTTTAACAATCTCAATATATGGCTAGTGTGATACTGAATGACAAGCTATATATGTCTGATTTGAATTCCATAATGTTTCTCAGTTCAATGTATGCATGTTTTCCCTGTAGAACTAGATGATACCACCTACAATAGACTGTGGATGATGAGAGGATTTGGTCAGGCTTATCATTTCTGGAAAGAATCGCGCCGAGCTAATTCCCCAGCTCTTCATGCCTACCTCACATATGTGACTTTACCTTGGCATCGTATCATTGGAGGTATTCCAGTTGTATTTATTTTATAGTATGTATGTCTTTTCTTGTATTGATGCTTTTATTTCACTCAGATAGGACAAAATATATTTTAACAACAAGTATCCTTTATAAGAATACAGATTTTAAGAAATTATTTTTGAAATGCCTTTTGCAAATTGCTTTATATTTAGATTGTGTGTTGATAGTTATTTATAGCTAGAAGTTGAGTGTTTTAGTTTAGGTCCTTATTGTTTGGACTAACCTTGGCTCCTTATGTGTTTTGTTGGGTGGTAAGAACTTTTGCCCAACATCTTCATTCATTGGGTCTTTGCACTCATCATTACATGGACGACTGGCTTCTGCTCGCTTGTTCTCATTCACAGTCCAGAGACCACACTCGTCTGCCCTTACAAGAAGCAGCACAGGTTAGATTCCTGATAAAGGTGGAGAAATCCATTCTTACCCACTCAATACTTTGTTCATTTGGGGGTTTAATTCAGTTCCAACCTCAGTCCGGCCCAACCTTCTCCTCTTTGTCATCAGGATATGGAGAAAGCAGTCAACAAGACCCTCACCTCGCATTCTCTCACAGCTCAAGAGGCTCTATCTCTTTTGGGGATGTGGGTTTCCTTGGTAGTTCTCATTCCCATGGGTTGAGCTCATATGTGTTCCCTTCAGTGGACACTCCTCGATCAGTGAAACTTCTACTTGGATCCCTCGGACCATCCTTTTACCCTTCCTTCCCCAATCAGGGCCAACCTATTTTGATGGCTAAATAGGGACCAGACCATGGCAGGGATTCTGCTTCCTCCACCTTGTCTGGATTTACATCTGTTCATGGACACATCTATAGAGGGTTGGCATGCTTACTTAGACACTCAGGAGATTTCTGATCTCTTGTCAGTCTTAAGAGTTTTCTCTCCATATCTACATTCTCAAACTTTTGGTGATCTGTTGAACTTTGTCCCACTTCCTTTCTCTCTTGCAGGGGAAGGTGGTTATAGTACACTCCAACAACTCCACAGTGGTCACTTATATCAACAAGTAAAAGAGTGCCTAATACAGGTCTCTGTGCTTTCAGACCCTGGATCTCCTTTAATGGGTCCACAGTCATCACATGGTGGTCTGAGCTTGCCATGTTCCTGGCATCCTGTATCTGGTTGCAGATTGTTTATTTCAACCCAACAAGATTCTCCCCACAGAGTGGTCCTTCGATCCACATATCTTTTAGTGGGTGTGTTCTCAGTTGGGAAAACCTCATATTGCTGCTTTCACCACCCACTGGAACACCAAACTTTCTTCCTCTTAGTTTCCCATTCCAGACCTGCTAGCTCTGGAATTGAATGTATTCAACCAAGATTGGAAGGGTTATCAGATCTATTCTTACCCTCCTATTCGACTCCTCCCCAGAATTCTGTCCCTAATCCAAATCACTCTGCATCTAGTCCACCTAGTGGCTCCATATTGGCTGGCACAACCATGTTTCCCACTGATCCGACTTTACTTATACAACCTCCATGACCCTTACCTCTGTCTCAGTCTCTACTCCATCAACCTCAGTCAAACATCATTGATCCAAATATCTCCATCTTCCAGCATGGCCTTTTTCAGGTCCATTGGATCGGCCCAGTGACCAATCCACATGTGGCACCTTTGCTTTCCATATCCATAAGACCTTCTTCCATGTCCTTTTACCAAAGGCAATGGTCTATCTTCTGCCTTTCATCTCTTCAACGTAGTTTCTGTCCTTCCCACCCTTCTGTTCCTCATCTTTCTCAATTCTTCACATGGTTGTTTGACAGAGGCTTGTCCTCTTCAACTGTGTATAGCTACCTGTGGCCTTGTCAAACACCTTCTGTTTTTCCAAGTTTCAAAAGTTTTGTTTTCCCCCTGTCATTTCTCTCCTTTTCAGCTACTTTCAGTCATGCATCCTCCATGTTCCTTTGGTTTGCCTGATTAGGATCTCAGTGTGGTCCTTTATGCCCTTTCCTGTCTTTCCTTTGAACCTTTGTTGATATGTTCCATATACCATCTTTCCCTCAAAACCTATTTCCTTCTCCTTCTTGCTTGTGGTCATCGTTGATCAGCTAATTATGCCATTAATGTTACCAGAAGCCTTTACCATTCCACTTATGTTATCTTATATCCAGACTGGTCCTTCTTTCTTGAGACCTATGCTGCCTGTGAAGGCTGTTTGGCTTTCACACCCATTTCCTTACCTTCCATCTCTCACCTCTACTCCCATTCTGATTTCAATTGGCTTCTTTGTCCAGTTTGCTCCTTATGATGTTATGTGGCATGTTTTGGAGTTCATGTTCCTGACTTTTCTTACCTGGAATCCATCTGTTTCCTGTGATTTATCCCTTGTCACACTAACTGGTTGGGTTCATCAACTCATTGGGCTGGCATATTCTGATTTATCCATGAAAGGTCGTCATCCCCACACTGTTTCTTCTCATCAAATTCGTCATATCACCATGCCTTTGGCTGCTCATCTTCACCATCCTTTGGAGGAGATCATTCAGGCCAGAATGTAGACTACTCCCAATACCCTCATCACTCATTATCTGCACAATCTAGCTGTATCTTCCTTAGGCAATTCTACAAACATCCATTCGCCTTTGACTGAGGTAATTCTTATCACATAATTTAGTTTGTTTTCTTTTCAGAAAACCTTTCTTTTTTACCACTGTTAATGGGATCCCACTCTGTGGCAGGTGTTGCCTGGTCAGGTATGCTTTGCCTCAAACGTGCACTATTTACTGGTTATGCTATAATGCTCACTGTAGAGATGGGGTGTCCCACAAAACTACTGGTGGTATGCCCAGTGGTATATACATATGTTTCTCAATATCCACAAGTTTCACTCCATTTTGGACTTTCATGAGAAAATCAGAAAGGAATTTCTGCCCATTCCTGCCGACCTATTGATTGTATAAATTGGGAATGATTTGCTTTTCAAAATAGGGAATTATTGATATCCATTGCACTTTCTCCAGTGTGATGTTTCTCTGGACCCCCCATTGCATTTACTTCTCCCCTTTTCTCTCCAACTGGAGCAAGAGAGTCAATTTCCAGTCACTGGGGTGGTGAACCATAGAGGCATCCTTCTGAGTGCATTGTAGACTTTAACTTACCAGTTATTCACTCAGTAGGGCAAAGCTGGTTTCCCTCCTTCCATTTTCCATAAATGTTTTTTCCCAGATGGACAGTTGTTGGTTGAAGCAGGACCAGCCTATGCGAGATTCTCTTCATAATATTGGGTTTGTGATGACACTACCCTGTTTTTACAGTTGTGTGTAGTAGAGGCCCTCTTCTTCTTAATTCTGGTTGCAGATGATTCCTTCCTTGCTCGTACAGTTGAATTTGGGGGACTTTGTCTGCCTCGTTGGGACATGTCTTTGGACCATTTCACAGCCCTAGGGGTTTGGTCTTCTATAGATTATACGTTTCTGGATCTCTTGGCTGCCAGTCAGGCATTTTCCCATTTCTAATCTCGTTTTGTGGATCACTTGATTATGATCCACTTAGACAATACTACAGTCATTTCCCATATCAATCATTATGGTGGGACTCGCTCCATAGACCTTTGGTTATGCACACTGGATTTTCTGGTTTGAGCCCACTCACATTAGGTTTTTTTATGTCTGTCAGGATGCAGGAACTTTCAACTTGGTAGCAGATCAACTTTTGACCAGATGGGACTCATTATACAGAATGATCACTCCATCCTCAGGTATTTTGTTGGATTTGTTTCCAGTTAGGCATGCCACTGATCAATGCCTTTGCCACTCCTCTCAATGTTAAACTCCCCTCTTCTGGTCCTAGATATCTCATCCAACAGCTCTTGCTGTGGATGCCCTCAGCCAGAACTGGTCTCACCTCTTATTGTATGTGTACTCTCTTCTTTGTCTTTTCTTTCCCATGTATCTTGGCATTGACTTGTGACACTCCTTGTTGGGTCCTGTTAGTAGCAGCTTTTTTTGGCTGACTTAGTCTTGGTTTCCTCTTCTTCACTGACTGGCATCAGGACACCTGTTTCTCTGCCTCTATTTCTGTCATTCTTGCTCTAACCTCATACATCTCTCTTTCACTCAGGAGTGTCGTACTTTCCTTTTCATGGTGAAATTTTCTGGTTCCTTGCTTGCTACCCATTAAGGCTTCTCTGATTATATAGCCCTTCTATTCTCCCTGTCTGTCAACAAAAATGGCATTTGTTTTTGCCACTGGTCTATCTGCTGCTTTTTATCACTAGGACATCCTACTGTTGCTCACCTTTTGGGCTAATTTACCTGGTTTTTTCAGCCAAGGATTGTTGGTTTCTAATGTTGCAGACTATTGGGCAGCCTTTTTCACTATGGTTCTATATTTTCCTCAAGTGTTCCTTCCATTTTGTTCTGTTCCTTCCTAATTCATAGTCCCCCTTGTCCAGTTCCTTTGCCCAACTGGTTCCTTAATGTAATTCTACACACTCTTACCTTGGCCTTGTTTGAACCCTTGGTCATTTGCTCCTTATGCCATCTCTCTCTCTTAAAATCTATTTCTTTCTTCTTGCTTGTGGTCATTAGGATTTGATATTTATGCATTGGATGCCTCTTGAACTGTGTTTCACAGATCTTTCTTGATTTTATTCCCTGATCGCTCATTTCTTCCTAAGAGTTGGACAGTTTGGGAGGGAAATCTTACCTTTTCTCTCCTATCTTCTCCATCAATCTTGGCCCTCTGTGATTATACAAATCCTGATTGCTTTTTGTGTCCAGTTTGGACAGTCAGGTGTTACTTGGCACACACAGCTCCATTTTGGGATTTCTGCATTTGTTTATTCTTACCATATGACTCCATCTTCTTCCAGGGATCTTTCATCCCCTATGCTTACTGGATTGATTTGTCAGCTCATCCAGATTATCTGTTTCTCCCGGGATGGAGATGCTCACAGTCTGTATGACAACTCATCACATCAAATCTGCCACTTGACTCACTCTCTGGCCTTGCACTTTTGATGACCCTTGAACAAGGTTCTCCAGGCAGGAATGTGGACTATGCCCAACACTTTCATCTCCCATTATCTCCACCAGCTGGAGGTTTTGTCTCCTTCAGAATATCACCTCCCTTCAGTTGCTATTCTCCAGTCTACTCATCGTCTTTAATAGGTAAGTGTTTCTTTTATTTCCTTACTTGTTACCTCCAACACTGAAGGTGAACGGAGGTTATGTTTTCTCTCCTATATGTGTGTTTGTCAACTTGAAAAGGCTGAATGGGTTTGGACAAAAGTTGGTATACATTTGGACTATGGCCCAACTTGGAAGAGATTAGTTGTTGGAGGGTCAAGGGTCACGAAAATAAAAAAAAATCCCTATCTGTTAAGATTGGGACCAATCTTTTACATTATTTTTGCTCAATAAGTCAGTCATAAGTTATTGGATTTTAATAAAACTTGGTGGACATATGTAGAATGTTATTCCTCATTGTCATGAGCAAAATTTATAATGACAGACATATGGATACATTTTCGTATTTTTGAAAGCCGAATATGATAAATGCTATGTGGCAGAGGTATGTGTGTGCCCCTCTAGTTTCTAATGTACTTCCTTTTACTTTTTGGAATCCACCTAGTGGCTGGTGTTGCTTAACAGAGTATATTTGCATTCCTAAACTGCACTGAGTGAGAGGTAAAGGATAGTGTTAAATCCTGAAGTGCCCACTGTTGAAATGGGGTTTTCTGCAAGAACATTATGGTGGTATATATATATATATATATATATTTCTGTATATATTTCATTGTCTGTTCCAGACTGTATCTTCCATGGACTATCATGGAAAAAGTCAGCACTATGAGAATATCTGCCCACTTTCCTGACTCGCACATGCTGGCTTTTCAAATTAGGCTTCATGGTAACTCAATTAAATCTCCAGTAAAATACCTTTGTGATGGTTAGGTCTGATCGTGTCTAGTGGAGCACAGGAGACCCTTGCCACTCCCAGTTCCTAGTTGCTGGGGTGGTTGACTTGAAGAGTTACTCACCAGTTGTGAAATCCCTTTGAAGAGCATCTGAATGGACAGCACAATGTGGTGGGAAGTAGAGCAGGGGTGTTCATGTCCTTGTAGTGCAGGCCATCCACTTATTATATAATATGCCAATTTCCTGGTTGTTTGGCCAGCCATATGGAAAAAAGTGTTCTTCTCATGCAATGGGAAAAGACTTAGTTCCCATTCCTGTATGTTTGGTGAGTGAATTGTATAACAGAACATGTACCAAACCATAAGATCTGATCGTTGCCCTAGCCACACTACATCTCATGTCCATCTGAGCTGTTGTGTGCAAATGCTTGGTTTTTCATGTCTTTTTCTGCCCATCTCCGAGACACATTGGCTTTGCCTTTCTCCTTTTGAACTTCCATCCATGCAAATAGTACCCTGATTAAAATGGATGTGATCTCCCACAAGTGTTGTCTCTCTAGTAAGCACCTACTACTGGGTGTCACTTTATGTGCTTTCCCCTTCTGATGCCTTCTCTGAAGGGAGTTCATCTAGGTTTTTTCATTTACACCATCCCCTCCACCACATTTATGTGGAATTTTAGCTATTGTTTGCAGAAAAGTAAGGATATTTCTTTACCTGAAAATGCATTTCTGATAGATACTTAACTCTATGCACACCTTCACACCTTTCCTTCTCACTAACAGTGCACATTAATCTTGCTTCGTCTAAGAATGAAGTTAATTTCTTGTGCAAGCGTTTATAGGGATCTACTGTGCATAGGAGATGTGTGACCCTCCTATTGGTGGAGGGCTATTGTCATACGATGATCACGTCATACACTAGTGCAGTTCCTGTTATAACACATATTTTAGATGGGAAATAGTGCAAGGCTACTGACATGTGGAAAACCTTGAAGGCAGAAGTAAGAGGAATAGCCACTGTGTGTGAAGAGAGGAAAGTATATATTGGAAATACATTTTCAGGTAAGGAAAATGTTAACATTTGATAAATGCTGACATTTCAAATGTCAAGTATAATATAATAAAATGTATTTTTGACATTACCCTGCATATACTGCATTTGTTTCTGTAAGTTTCATAATCAAATGTACATTTTTTTGTATTTTTACATAGAAATTCTAACTGCAATTTAAATAGCAAAATTGAGGTTATCTAGGCTACTCAAAACAAAACAAAAACCTTTGAATTTTAGAGAAAATGCCAAGGATCAAAACTTTTCATTCTAAAGGTGGGAAAAAGAGGGTTGTAACATCTTTAATGTGGTAGTTTGAAGTTGGTTTAAACTCTAACAGAATTTTCAACTGTTTTTAAATAGCATGCTGTTGCAAAACTAAGAACTAATAGTTTTGGATTCAGTATTCATTATACTGTTGTAATATGCTGTATTACAGTTCATGTTTTATCTTTGATTATTTCTACAATACTTGGCCTTTTTTTTTACAAGCATAAATTTGATTGTGTTACTTACTTATTCTCGTCTCATGTCAGTTATACATACTGAATATACTGAACTATGTTGTGAAGTAAAATATGATAATTCGGCTGTTTACTTTATTTAATAACTTTTATGTTTTTTTTTAATAGGTCTTCTAGATACAAGACAAGAACCAGTTTTGATATTCTAGCACAAGCTGGCATAGGAACTTGAACATTCTTCATGCTGTTTAGTGGACTTCTGCTCGTAATTAAAAGTGATGAATGAAATTCTCCTGCCTGTTCTTTGTGTGATGTCTTAATGCCATCAGCTGTGATGCCATCACTTTTTTGTGCCATTTATTAAGGTACTTTCAGAGAGTTTTTTGTCATAAAGAAATCTCTGAAATATTAAGTTACAAGTACCCGAGTCTTTTTGCTAGAACCAGGAGTGTAATAAGTATGTGCTTTAAATTTATTGTCAGAAGTAATAATACAATCTGCATATATTATAGTAAAAATTAGTGTAAAACCAAATATAAGAAAAAACTTGAATTTAAGAAGTTTGTGTAGCATTTTGATCATTTGATTATAAGTAAATTAATTAAACCAATCTGTGAAAAAATTAATTTTGGTTCCTACGTTTAAAACCTGAATGTATTTCCCACAGTAAATTATATTACATTTGGTCACTAAGTAAAGATATATCATTTTAAGGTAGCTCCTAACCTTTTCCAGACTGGAGGGGGTCTTAGTGGAAATACTTGACAAAATGGCAGGAAATTTAATGCATACCTACTAAATAATATCTAATTTTCTCTTTAAAAATTATATAATTTGATTTACTTTCTCTATCTTGTTTTTTACAATGTGAAAATTCCAAAAATGACACTGTCTTGAAAAAAATATTAAAAATAGTTCTTTTTGCCTTTGAATTTAATTTTTTAATTGTTTATCAGAAAGTTCCTTGTCACTTTCCCTTAGAACTTTAAATTACTTCTCACATCTTTATTCAGTTTACAATGACATAATTATTGAACTAGTGTTGTTCTGCAAGACATGGAAAGGAAAATTTGGACAAATGATAATGAAGAATAAATTGGCACATCTAAATGAAAACATTTTTAAGTTTATTTTGTGTTTTGAGCAGATGCCCTTCATCAGGTAGTAAAGACTGTGTTACAATGGAATTAGACTCAGAAATTATCATTAAAAGTTAAAAAAATACAAAGGTTCTAATAACACACGTTCAACATGGAACTTGGTGACAAAAATGTTGATAAAAACATTTTGATCTCACTATAAATGAATATAAATTTGCAAAATAATAATTCAGGGAAATAGTTATGGGAAGGAAAAGATTTTCACATAGGTAAAGTTGAAACAGGAGATTTAACCAGGAGTAAGAGGTAAGGTAAAACACATCTAAAGAAAATGTTGACAGAGTTTTATAATTATTTGAAAGTAAATCTTTCTTTATACCATAAGGGAATTTAGTGTTGAGTTGGAATGTAAGACTGTGTTCAAGGCTTTCTCGTATTAACTTATTGAGTGGTGCATTTCTAATGACTGAGATTATCCTTTCGGAGGTACCATTGTGGTCAGGAGAATTGAAGTGTCTAGGAACTGGGAGGTCAATGAAGCCTTCTCTTACAGACCTAAGGTGTTCACAGAAATGATCACCAAGTCTGCAGGCTGTTTCTCTGATATAAAGTTTGAGACACTGGATGGAAGAGAGATAACCAGGGGTTGTTGGACAAAATCTAGGTAACTAGGTATTTGTTCAGTGGGGTAATTAGAAGCTGAAACTATGGTACAGTCAGGATAAACCAGATTTGTGAATCTTGGGCAATAAGGAGAAAATTTCTATGAGAAAATCTTTACCTTCTCATATTTTCTTTTCTCTGGATTATTATTTTATTTTACTAGGCTATTATTTTATTATTTTGCAAACTTATATTTATTATTTTCCTGTGTTTATATTTCTAAATCCAATTATAGTCGTTCTAATTACATTTTTTTCCACATTCTTGCTAATTTGAATAATATTTATGTAATAAGTTCAACAATGTTTTTATCCATATTTTTGATGTGTGTAATTAGAATCTTTATATTTTCTCACCTTTTAACAATTATTTCTGAGCCTAATTCCATTGTAACACAGTCTTTACTGCCTGACGAAGGGCGTCTTCTCAAACTGTTGCACAAAATAAACTCGAAAAGATTTTCATTTAGACATGTCAGTTTATTCTTTATTATCATTTATCCATGACATAAGCAGTTTACCTGTAATTATTTTCAAAGTTGAGCTTAATTCATACATGTTCACATGACATGCTGTGAAGTCATTAAAAGGGTGTGAATGAGAAGCAATACCAATAAAATCAGATAAAGAGAAAATCACATGTGAAACAAATCTTTGAGAATTATATTCTTATGAAATAATAGTTTCTTAGCAAATATCAACCTATGACTTGGGACGTGAAGAAAATTTCAAAAATAATTTATAAGCACATTGTTTACACGTGAGACTCCTCACAACTGTGCAGAAATGCAAGTTTTATTTTATTTTTTTGTGACTTATACTAAATATGTGTTACAAAATGACAAAATTTCAATTAGAAATTTTTTTGGAGTGAAATATTACTGAAATCGAGTTAAAATTATTAGTTTCATTGTAAATTTTGAAATCTGATATGTAAGTGTACACTCACTGCTGACAGGTACTCACTGGTCTGGTTAGGGTTAAGTGGCCTGTCATTTAAAAAATTGTATCTTTTTGGACCTGTTTTTTATTACTGATAACTTACTAGTCATTATTTTTATTTTCAAAGTGTTTTTAATACATAATAACGAGTTTATTAAGTATCAGTATATCTATATAAACGTATTATATACACAAAATGAGTAAAGTATTTGTCAGAAATTTTAGTTATAACTTTAGATATAATTATGAAAGAAAAGTTAGTATACTTTATCTTCCAACAAATACTTTCTTATTTTGTATAACATATTTACTTTAAAATCACACTATTTATAAAAGTGTTAAAGTTTTGAGGCTTTACAGAAAAATTGTGAGATATCCAAATAAACTGGTTAATGTCATTTGGTCGAAACTCTGAAGACATATTTCCCTCCATTACATCAATTTTTACCAAATCTTTTTAATATCAGACTCAGTCTGAATTTATTGCATTATTGAAAATGTTGTGATCTGTACATTATTAGCCATGAGTTGACTTGTAAAGATAAAGAAAATATTTTCTTCCTGTGTTGATGGATTTATTTAAGATATATACTAATGTTTGTATAAACCTAATGAAATCTTCCTTCACTGGTAATTCCCTTTGAGGAAGTGAACATTAACTGATTGTTTGTGTTAAAAATTCACCCACAAGTGAAAATCTTAGTTTGGTCTTTAATCTTATGTAGTTTTTTATTGGAATAAAGTGTTTCAAGAACTTATCTATAATGAAAAGAATTAACTTTAAAGATGATTGGGATGTGTCATCTAAGTACACATGCATTATCATGCTTATATTATGTCTGGTTTAGGCTTATGTTAATGTGAAATTGTTTCCATGGTTTTACTGTGTTTCTTGAACAAAGTCTGTCAGGGAAATTGTTCTCTTTCAGTTTTCTAATTATAAATAAATAGATAACTGGGTGGAAGGGATTGGAAACCCATGTCTTCGTTTTAAACTTTTTGATTTTTTTACCATAAATATTATTTGACATTATTATCCTTTATGTTACCATATTTTTCGGAATATAAGACACACCCTTATTTTGAAGACAAAGTTTTGGGGGAAAAAAAGCTACAGTTGCATTTGAAAGATTTTTATTAGAACAAAAATTAAATTTGATATTTTAAAAAT